ATCGTCACATGTAGATGGCTTTGTGCTTATATGTCACGTTGATAGTGTCACAGCACTGATATCCGAACCGAGACCACCTCTTCAGGTGGGCTCACTTGAATCTAGCACGGTGCAGAGCCCTCTTAACCCGTTTACAATGCAACTATTTCTGCCGGACCGTTCTCGATCCAGACTCGGACTGTTATATTTGTTTGTAATCTTCAAAACACATTGTAGATTAACGTCTTTTTTTATCTTAAAAAAATATTTCTAGTCGCCCCAGCGTGCTTCAGTAACTTTTTCGCTTGCCAGCTAACTTGGATGGTGCCATCCTGACACAACAACAACGGGTTTCCTGTTAGCTGACATAGAAAACCGTCTAGGAGTGAGATCCCTTGTATTTTGTGTTGTTTTAATGTCGGGCATTAGAAAGAAATAAGTTCACAGAGAATAATAGCATAACGATCCTCAGATTGACTTGTCTCTGTTCTGTCGATTATTTTAGTTTCAAATATATATAATCATAGTCTTTAATAATATAATAACATGGTTTACGTATATGTTACCACCCATCTATTGTAAGAATGTTCTAGAAATTTTATCTTGGTGCAAAGATAATAATGTGATGCTAAAGTGCCGGGTGAGTCGATACTTGTTTGTTGACCTAGTAGTCTGAGGTTCGATCCGGTATATGATATGATGTGGATGTACGTTAATAATAAAAGAGTCTTGTGGTTTGGAACAATAAAGTCAAGTCTTATTCGCTACATCCTATACGTACCAGGTACCTCGACAGTTTGAAAAAGACAAAGATTAGGCTTACAATATTTTCCTGGAAAAATGTGGTCCTGTGTGGTTTGTATCCATTAGTGCCAACTGATGCAGAATGGTCAAAAATATAGAACTCAGTTTTTTTGTGATATTCATGTTCCAAGTGCATCATGGTCAAATTACTAAAACCTCTTTTGAAATGAAACTTATATCATTCCATTAACACGAATAGATTCACCAATCTAGGTTCATATATCAACAGCAACCATTGTTTGCTCAAGCGATTCGTAAAATCTTATCATTATATCAAAATTAAATTGCATTTTGATCAAATTTAAACTCAAAGCAGTAAATGGTGATAGTGGAAACTGTATTAGATACAAAACATGCTTATCTATCACGCTATATTGATTTTGAATCCGGATATTTGAAAATGTGCAACGAGCTCTTTTTCTAAAAGTTTAGGCTTCCAAGTGATTTATCACCAGATCGTAGATTATATCTTCATTACATAATTCCGTTTCAAGTTTTATTTCAGTGTCAAAACAAATTTTTGTAAACAAATTTCAACACGCAAATTATAAAGATTTTCTTTTTCAGTTTCGGAAGTTAGTCAAAAGCATCCACAGATCTAATTGGTGTGATTAGGATCTTTTTGTGAAAAACTATTACACTAGACTAGATGATGGTGATGATGATGGATAGATTTAATTAAGACATTAACAAATTATTTGTCGGCAATTTGTTTACCTGCCCGGCGCATGACTTTTTAAGTTGCAGGAGGGGTGTGCAGTTCCTTTTTGCTTTCTGACGCCCAAAGTCCCACAGATACAGGAACTGCCGCATGTAAGACGACCCAAGCAGATGTAGCTTTGTAGTTCGGAGTATCCGTCTCCTATAAACGAAGACTTCCAGTCAAGGATTACGGGCGTTCCTACCCTGACGGATGGTGGGTGTGTCATTCCCGAATCGGCCAAGGACCTATTGCACTGCCTTTTTTGCTTAAAAGGAAAGGGTTGGCTTCGAATAGCAACGAAAAGCTTCACAAGGTCATGACAATGTTGCTAGAGTACACCATGACATTGTACTAAGCAGCTATTTTGAAATAAGTGTTGTAAACATGCATCTTTAGATCTCTAACGATGTAACATTAATAGCTTGAAGCTATTCAATGATTTTAACACCGCTTTCCAATAAATACATTTCAGATAGAACCATTTGTGTTTAAAATAAAAATTAGTATTCGATTGGGAACGAGTAACTGTTGTTACTACAGGAAAGCTTTTAAGTGCATAACGATACTTAATTGAAATGTAACATTATATACTATAGGAAGTCATTGTTTGAACATTATGGCCTGTTATCTGTATTTAGTTACAATGTAAGTTGTAATTAGGTTTATCAAACTACAATCGTCAATATTCCTTAAATATCTCAAAGGGGAAATCTAATAGTGCTTTATGTGGAATTGGAAACTACTACCTGAATGTAAATAAGTCGTCGCGAGAAATAACAATAACATGTGCGTGGAATTTGCCTTTGTTTGATTTGATTATAGGGGCCTACTTTTATAGATGAGTGTTCAACTGTAGATGGGTTTTGTAATGGTAAAATGTTATTGAGTCAATTTTGGGTTTTTCAATGTCAGTATAAGGAGTAATGCTTGTATTATGAATAAATGCCTCCCCGGACAATCAAGCCTGGTTACGGGCCTGTCTGTGGAAGAAAGTCTTATAAATAATATATTGCACCAAGAGATATGAAAAAAGCTACTTATATAGTTTTAAAGTAAAAACTATATGAGAATATAAAAGCAATGGATCATTAATTACTGATTAAAACTAATTGGAATCACGGAACTGACCAGAATGTTGTTTCTAATAATATGTAACGTTTTTATATGTATATAAATCAATTGTTTTATTAAAAGCATTATGTTTTTACTAGTTTCTAATCGTTATCAAGGATTCAGGCGGTTTTATTATCAGATACGTGTATCTTGGACACTTGTGGCGTCTATTTGCACCATCCCGATCGTACTCTGCCACTATGTATTTCAACTCAATAATGTTCATTTTGGAACTTTTCTCTTTCATAAATGTCAGTAATTCCTTCTCTCATGAAACTTTTCATTTTTGGAACAATTGTAAACCGATTGCTGAATTTCAATTGTTCTTTTACCATGTCTATTGTATAGGCATTTTGGAAAATTTCACTTACAACCCACTGCCCAGTCGACTTCTCAATATGTCTTAATCTAAACCGCAGATTCCATGGTCACAGTGAAGTTAGAAATCACACTCTTCAATGTTAAATCAATGTGTATGCACAATGCACACCGAAAGCTATTTAATAACGCCCTATTGACTAAACAAACAATATCCTTGGTGGTTATATCTGTTCTTTTAACGTGTTATCGAAATTGATCCTTTCCGTGTATAAATGACTTCGCCGTGGTATAAGTAGTTTCGCTATAGCTATATGATATATATATATATAGAGAGAGAGAAGTGACTTAAATTTTCTGCATACATCATAGCTGGCATGATCCAACACTCAAAATGTTCCACAACAAGCAAACTGAAGCCGATTCATATTATAATTGTGTAACTTTTGTGTCACAAAATAGGTTTGCAAAATGAGCACATACTTCTAGCCTTACATGGTCAGTGGATTGAAGCAAGTCCACGGTTCCCTATCCCCGAGGGAGCTCAACCCCCAGAAATCTTCCATTAACAGAGTCTCAGAATGCAGGAGAGCATAATAATACATGTATGTTTAAAAAGATTCCCGGTGGTAATTAAGTCCATGGACCCCCTTCATCTAATTGAGCTATTGCTTATAATGGTCTCAAATTTCTTAAAATATTATGGCGTTTTAATTTAGGAACCTTCGGCCTCGCCGTTTCACCGTTTAAATCGGCTAACTCATGAACACCGCACTATAATACTTAGCGTCTCATATCACTTGCGTCGTAAAACGTGTGGTTCAGTTTGGTTGCTTTCATCTGATGTCCGTGTGATAACATTAGCACAATTAGGTGAACAGAGAGACATCATATTCATTTAAACTCATTTCAAGATGTCAATCAATGTAACGTTCATTGATTCACTTGAGGTTAAATTACCTAAGGCACCAAGTTCTTTTTCGTATTTTTCTCTCGTTTACATTAAATTGGTCATTGTGAATGGCTAAAAACTGCTTGCCTCTCTCCTTATGTTTCTTAGGATCTGAACTAATGAAGTTAATCACAGCGCTCTGGCTGCCCATGATAAGTGACAAGAATCTTAGATTTATACACATGGATTTATTTAAAGGGACAGGTGCGCCTATCTCTTTTACCATGAGTAAATGAAGTGAGATTTTTCTAGCCGAGTTAATAGTGTCCACAGCTCACCGTCCAAATTCGAGCCTTAAAACTCATGTCTTCAGAATTATTCCCGTTTGAAAGTTGAAAGACGACTTTCTTTTCTTGATTCTCTGCCATATATATATAGAAAATACACCTATTGGCGTTTATTTGAATGGATTATGCGATTTTCGTACAGTTCTAAAACTTCTGAAGACTATTTACATATATTTAAGGCCAAAATCCGGAAATGCTTTATTCGTGCCTTTAAGCCACCAAGTTACAACAGTTTATAATGAGATCATCAAGGACAAAATTATTTGACCACGATCAATTATCATCTCGACTTAAATGTGCCAATCTGAACCGACAGGACAAATCGATCAAAGTTCGAAGAGTAATTAAGTTTGATGGGTGATAACATCCGCTTCTCTGCTTCAGTCTGGTCAGCTTGGCTGTTCTACCGCTCCTTGCACATGATACAACCTTTTACACGCGTACACCTGTAGTTGTTGGTTTGAAATAAGCTTTGTTTACGCTTATTCGCTGTTCATGTACGCATCAGCAAGTTATGGCATCTCGTGAGCGAGTAAGAACATGCCGAAAATTTCAGAACATCCTTTTCGTTGCTTATGTGTTGGTGAATGACAAGTTAACGTATGCTTTCCTACATCACTAAGTAAGTTTGATGGGTGATAACGTCCGCTTCCCTACATCACTATAGGTAAGTTTGATGGGTGATAACGCCCACTCCCCTGCATCACTATATGTAAGTTTGATGGGTGATACCGTCCGCTTCCCTACATCACTATGTAAGTTGGTTGGGGGTGACAAGTCAGCAGAAGCTGACATCGCACATCATGCATTAAATCTCTGATATTTATGGAGTAAATATAGTTACCTGCTGATGGTTTACACACTGACATGTATCTAATTAAGCTCATCACAGCTAGTGTTGTCATACTCGCCACACCAAATTGAAATCCTAGAAATCCGTTTATATCACACCCTGATAAAAACAAACAAATTAATTGGAAGTAACACTAAATACATATTAATTTCATCGTGATTTACCAATAATGAAAATATAATAAGCTAAACGATATTACTATCTGAATAGGTTTCATACCATTTCATTATAAAAATCATTTTTTTTAATCAAAACATACAATGATTTGCTGAAACGAATCAAATAGTGATTGCATTATTTAGTGCAGATTGACTTTCTTTTGATACTTATTAAATTACTGCACACATACGAATATATGTATCGAAGGCGCTGCCAAAGCTATCTTAAAACAGACTGAAAATACTGGACCAACAGTTAATCTGTACGCTATACATTTTGCTTGGTCTCGTGAATATAGTACAGATACCTTAGATATCAACGTCAAAGCCCAGACGTGAGCAACACCACAGGTTACCAAACTTTCTTCTATTAAAATTTGAAAGAGAAATAGCTGTGTTCTGCCATCTTTAGAATGTCTTCTGTGTGCCTCATTGCTTTCGATATGATATCTTCAATACAAATCTTCTGCGATGTATTATTGTTCCATTTACCAAAACAGTTGGTGGATTAAAAAGCTAATCAAACTAGGGATTTGACCACTTAGCCGAGTACTTTTGGACAAATTAAGTCAGTGTCTTACCTGTATCACCAAATATCCATCGATGAGAAAATAAGGCAATGATCACCATCGGATAACCAAGTAATGGATGACCTATATCAGATATAGCTAGGTTTATTATATAAAAATCTCCAATAACCAATTTCTTTCTCATTTTTTTGGCAACTACCAAAACTAATACGTTCAAAACAACCGCCATCACATCTGAAATAATAAAATCCGATATGGATGCAGGTTGTTATATTTATGGGATCAACGGGTTATACATTCATGGGAACCTCCAACGCCTGTTTTCTTTATGCATGACGACTATTGGTGTTGAGGAATTTCTGTAGAACATTGAAGAACGCTCTTTTCATTCTTTGCTTTACTCTTGCAAAATGAACAACAGCGGCGATTAGAGTTAACATGCTGAGAAACAGTGGCTCAACTACCGCCGGAACTGGTTAAACCAAATCCACGAACACTCTTTAGGATGCTCATTGGCTCGTAAATTAAGACTTGGTGGTAGCCTATTGCTGCGGGCACAAGAACAGTATTTATCGCGGACTCGAATCTCGAGAAAAATCACACGTGTGCCTGCTCTTCCACGACAAGATTATGGCGTTGCCGATAGGACATTTTAAATATCAAACAAGTTTTATATTGTCGCTGATTGTTTTATCGACTGTAAGATAGAGCGTCATCACCCAAGATTCGCACGTAATTATCGACATAGTCAAAAACGACTGACTGGAGATTTTCTGTCTCCTCGCGTGCCCGCATCCTGTCAGTGGAACTCTTGAAAATAATCGCCGAGCCTATGATGAGATGTCACCGTTTTGTACTAAGAAAAGTTATGGTGGTTGTTGATGTTGGTCGTGCTTGAGCATCAGAACAGTTACGATACAACTCCTTGAGGAAGAACAATCTTGACAGTTCTCTAATCTTAACTGATTGGTTCAGTCCTCTGGGAAAATATTAAATTTCATCTTATTTTTAAGGAAACAACCTTTCAATAATGTACCTTAGTGCCTAAGGAACCTTTAACAAAGAAACCGGAAGTGTGGATAAGTAGGATGAATGCTATGACACGTGACTACCATTTGTCAAAGTTTCATTCCTATGGGCTTTCTTTGACGTTTTCAATCATGAGAAAATAATATTTAGCTTTTGTTAAAATGACAGGTATTTTACTAACAGTTAAAATAATTCCCATGGTTCGTTACACGTGAACAATATTTGATACCTATAATATGTAGGATAAGCGTTAACAATTCAAACGTCAGAAAGGAAGATGGTCATCGACCTGCAGGTCATCTGAATATACTTCCCCAATGGTCGTTACTAAGCATTGTTTTTGAAGACTAGTGTCACCATAAGTAACTAATGAAAGAGAGTAGTGACCTCTATAATGGTACTAAGCCTTCGCCCTGGGAGCCATGTCATTATCCATGAGCTATAATTATTTTAAGACCACCATTAAATGTACATTATGTTTGTGAATTAAATTATTTATTTCCTGGTGACTATTTCAACAATATTAAGCCTTCATAATAGTAATGATCTTTATTCTCGAAAGACGAGTCGTGAAGCAAATTAACATATTTACAAAATGAAACAGTTATAAATAAATAAACCAAGTTCTAACGATCTAATCCACAATATGAAACACCTAATCCGAAAGATCATATTGGCGAAAACATTGGAAGCGACAAATGAACTTTTCGCATGAGGAAGTATATCATGAGTAAGCTACGTATTTGTTAAAGAAAAGTGGATTCGTTGTGGAGAAGGCTTAGCATGCTCCATGCGCTACAGAAAAGAAAAGGAGCTTGCTCGGTTTTGACCCCCAACCCCAACCCCTCAATATTTTATCATTTTACGTAGTGAAAGAATTGCCTGTGTTTCATCATGGAACTTGTACAGATATACGTGACTTGTGTATGTGTTTATCCTTCCTCATATCCGGCGTGATGAATTAGACAAAGATTATTTTCCGGTGATTTCTTAAGCAGTCCTTTCGTTTCTCTGGGATAATTAGTCATCAATGCTTGAAGTTAAATACCGCGAAGAAAAGCTATTGACTTCAAAAGTAGATAATTATCTGAACTGTGTGATACGAATTGCCACAAATCTTTAGTGTTCTGATTATTCTGTTTACATTCAGGGTTTCACAAATACTACAGGCCATTCCTAGTGGTGCAACAGTCGCCTGTCGTGCTTTGCTATTTATTTCAGAAAATTGCAAAATTGAATATTACTAGGATTAGTGGTCACATTTATTTTGACCAAGGACTATCCAATATGTCTATTGCTGTTTTAACTATTCCCTCATTGGCTGTATGACTATTGGGTGTATGACAAAATGGGACATGAACTCGTCGACATGCTAAGAGTACATTCTCTTTGATAACTGATATTTATGGAATAATACCCAGACAACGGAAACATTTCAAATCCTGTTCATGACAATTTGACTCGAAACCAGACTGATTTCATTCACATCGATTATATTTAGTATATTACATGTATACAATATTCTACTATATCTTTTTGATAATAAAAGGATTTGCATGTTTTTTGACGGATGATGAAGTACGAGTCGGGGTAAAGTAAACTATAATGGTTCAATTATTAACATACTAAGAGCATGGTCTAAAATCAAGTTGAATATTGTATAAACAGTGACTCAAATACCACAAGTCCACGCCCCCCTCCGCCACCCCCAGAAAAAGAAATACAATTTACCAACGTAAGTATCATTTGTGAAATAGTATTAACTTTAAAATGAAATTTTAAATAATGTAAACCTCTCTCACATTCTTTTTGTTGTATTTGGTTGTTTCCATCCGCCGAACTACTCACTGTCTCTTCAGGTACTTTCTAACTAAACTATCACCCATGACGCTATGACCCCTAGGAATTCGGTGGCCTTATCGCCTTATGCGATCTTCAGACAACTCACCTATTTTCAGCCCATATCCCTACTGAAGTTTGACACGTACTATTTTTTTTTTTAAAAGATTTACTTATAATATACCGCAATGAGACAAAAGTTTTTATAACTTCAGCTTTCAAAGTGATCTCTTTCGGTTCAGTTATTATAATGAACTCCTTTAGAAAATTCTTCCGTTTCATTTGTTACATGAAATATTGTTTCCGCCTTATTACAGATTTCCCTTGATGTTACTTGATATAAGAACAGTGTTCTGAATATACCCATGTTTATATGTATTTTTAACAATGACATTGAATGCATCTATTGATTCACTTTTTCCTCTGTATGAAGTCGATACAGCACTACGGATATTACAATTCGAAAGTCTGAAAGGCTTAACAGAATAACTGTTATATGTAAAAAACCAAATTACATGTATAACTGAAGTGGGAAAAGGTCCTTTTCGCACAATTCTCTTGACTAATACCCCAGTCACACCGGACTGCGACCATTTTTATTGAGTTTTTATAACAGATCGGACAGGAAAAGCAAGGTGATAATAGAATCTGGAGCAAATCTGGTGAACCACATCATATAGTCGAATTTATAACTATATAAACGCAATGGGAACGCAACTTGCGCACTTTGAACCCCTCAGAAAGCGTAGAAGTATCGTTTTAGAAACTCGAGGTTTGTAGTAAGTAATCGTTTTTGCATCGTCTATACAACGCGGGTACTGCATTTTTCATTTCATGGAGGTTTAACTATACGCTTGTATTGCGACCTTTTCGATTCCATGGCGTTAGCATAACAGACATCTGAATGGTCACTATCCTGAATCAACACGCTTTGAGCCAATTTCCAGTCGTTATTAAAGCGCAGTTAATCACCTTTCTGTATTACCGGGCTAGCTTCGGTGAAGCTCTCACATTTTCGGGAAAAGTAACTTTCACCCTGGTTACAATAGGTAATTTTCGCTCACGGTTACAGATAGAATATACAGTCTTTCGATCGATTCTACCTTTTCATGTTTCATGCTTGAACGAAAATTATTATCGTCAATATGTACTTTGTACTATTATCTAAGAAACTACGAACGAACTCAACCGAGTCTTCTGGGAATATTATCTTGGTATCGGACTAATGAAGTTACGTGTACAATTAGTACACGAACACTGGCGACGATGTACACATTTTAAAGAAGCATTGCCATGCCTAAATTTGTTCCCGTAAGGAAATATCATTTAAAACTATCTACCTGTACATTTTGTTTTATTATTTGCATTATCAATTAGCGTTTTTAAATTGGGTTCCATTCCGATGAGTACTGTATGTCGCTCGCGTTAAAATGTAATTTTGGGACTTTGGAGCCCCCCGCCCCCTCCATTTTTTTTCAGGAGCCGCCTCTGGATTATAATGATAACCAACTGGAGATGATGTTCATCTATTGTATATGCCTTACATTTATTAATAGAATATGCTGAAACGACGTTGTCGCTATCTGTTTCATATCTATTCAGAAGTTAATGACTGCCTTTTTGATATCCATGATACTAATTTACTAAAATATAACAATAATAAATAGTTATAAAATCATTAAGAAAATCAATCCAGTTAATGAAGCACAACTGAACTTTAAGAGGTAATTTTAAGCATGGATGCCCGCAATAATTATCAAACTCATTTTTCCATCGAGACGGTTTACCAGATCATATCAACGACAACAACACCTTCGTTTGAAACCAGTGGCAGCGCCAGCCTAATGAGACTGGGGGTACGAATATCGGGAAGGGGCGGAGGTATTATTTGTCTTGGCTGATTTCAAAATACAGCAACTCTGAGGACGCGTCTTGTCGAAAGCCTCTTTTTTTCGTAAAAATGGAATTGATTTAGTGCATTCTGACATATATTTTGGGCCAAAGAGATCTAAAAGTCATATTTTTTGTACTGGCGCCGCCACTGTTTGAAACTGCGATTTTCATTTATTCTGGTGAAAACATGCGTCAGCAGAATGCAATTTCTGTAAAGCTGAATCTACAGTGGATTATGAATGGAACGTAGCCACGTTTGTGTCACCTGGTCGTTTTACCACCGATTTGTCATCAGATTGTAAAATTAAATCATATTAAACCAGATAAAATGCCATCATGAAAGAATCGGACGATTTGTGCACATAAACAGACATTAATAGACTTATCTCACTTTAACAGATGAAATATCGATAATCAAATCCATTTATTGAGCAAATTACACTCGGAAGAGGATGTATGAAGGATGATGTGTTGCATGACATGAAA